AGAAAATCGGGAGACTTTGACATGGTGTAATGATTAGCAACCTTGTCTCATTAAATTATGATTGAATAGTGAGTTTGATCCTCACTATGTGCCACATTTATGCTGCACTTAGAAAATCATATTATGATTTGTTCTCTGTTACCTGGAACATACAATGTCTGAGTATTTAGACTAAGAAGATGTCAGAATTTCTTGGTCCAACCAAAGAAGCCTTTCTAAGAAACATTTGATAATTTGGTCAAAGGCATAGTTGAAAAATATCAGTGCTCTTATTGTCTGTATGTCTGTGTATAATATATACACACTGACATGCACTTTGGAAATGTTTCTCTTTATTGGCATTAAGCTTGTAATTTGCACTTCAGGAAAATATGGCATAGGAATTTAGAAGATACATTTTAATTTTTTTTAATTTTTGTAAACCCAGCTTTTTATGCTTCTATCATTTATATGTAGACATTGCATAGAACGACAAAATTAACTTCATACTGTTATAGTTTTATTTACTTACACAGACATATTGATTTTAACTTTTAAATTTCACTTAGTATAAAAATGTTCAGAAAAAAAAAATTCTCTTTAATCTAAAATAACCATTCAAGTTGGAAAATTGCAGAATTGACTAAAGTTAGAATGTTCATGAGAATTCTTGGTAATATCAAACTAGTAAGGGAATAGAATATTGCAAGTTTTATTCAAATGACACAAAAAGAGAAGTTATTTTAAGAGTTTCAAATAATTTTTCTTTGGAAAATTTATTACCAGGAATTTATCTTGAGCTGCATAAGCCAATTCTCTTCTCTGTTACTGAAGTTCAACTAATACTAATAGATAAATATACATTTCAATGTGTTTACTATAGATTTCAATAACCATTTTATTTGTCTATATTTCTGAGACAAAGTATTATAACTATTTACATGGCCCAGTGGATAAAAGCATTGGTTTAAGTAATCCATTAATTTGACCTAAAGAGTTGTGAGTTCAATACCGGGCCTGTAAAATAATTGGGGTATTTCAGTAATACGAGTACTTGGGGTATTTCAGTAATACGAGTACAACTAATATGTTTCTGGAAAAAGTAAGATTAGTCATGGATATTTTCTTTCCTAGCCATCATGTGCTTGGGTGACTGGTGCTTGCAAGCATGATTAGTCTTATTTTACTTTTTAGTTCAGACATAAAATTACCAATTGATTTGAAATGTAAATAATAAGTTGATTCTCGTTTTTGGTCTTTGTCAAAGACTAGTACTCTCTAACACATGAATAACAGATGAAAACACCTCTTGTACATATTTCTGTCTAAAGTTGGCAGACATTTAATTATTTAGCACCTGGTAAATTGTTTTTATTTTTTCTTGCTTTCCAAATAATTCATCTTTTGATATTTGAAGTTTTCTGAAGTCATTCAATGACTTGGCTTATTCTACTATGGTTACCAGTAATGGAATTAGTTGTAGCTGGCTGAACAATCCAACATTTTCGACCTAAATTGATTAGATGCTGGTGTAGTGTATGATTGGATTTGCTTTATTGGATTGTATCTTTTGTAAATAATTCTGACCACACCAGCTGTATGAACTTTATAGTATTTGGTTATTATCTTATAATTTCCAGTATTTCTTGTGTGTTTGCAAATGAATACCATTTCTCTACAGTTTTTCCAATAAAATATCTTAATAACTGAATAATGTCAGCTTCCTCTGCTGACATTTTGAGTCTTATCAAAATTCTTATTTTTTTTTTTCCTTTCACCAGAAGATCAGGGAAAGATATTTGTTAAATTTGCTTCTAACAACTGAGAAAATTAAAGAAAGGCATCTATTTGTAAATATGAATGCAAACAGGTTTTTATTGGCATTTATTGGCAACTTGTATTTTGCCACATTATTGCACTGTGTGTATTACAAATAAATTTTCATAGTGCCAATTTAATGGCTCTGAATTGTTAATCAGAGAGCACAGTTCCAATTTCCATTGGGTTTGTTATATTCACTTACATGCCAATGCCATTGGGGAAGATATGAATCCACCTCTTCTTCTCCCCAGCTATGGGTTAATTAGTAAGACTTGTATCACTAAACCATTATATCAAATAGTGCCAATTTGATGTTGGCCCCCTTCAAAGAATGAAAATGAGGGCTCAAAAAGAGCTTAACTGATCTTAAATTTTTCTTTTGTTTTTATGTAGTAGCTTCATTTAATAATGATAGCATTAGTAGCCATCATTGTCTACCTCTGCCATCAGATCCAAAGATTTATTATGCCTTCATCTGTGAATTCTCGGTTCTCCAGTGGTGCAGTGTCTGGGACAGGTGGTGACAGTTGTTTTAATCACTGCCTGAGTAACTCTGTTGTTTTTCTGCAATGATGAGTCTTTGATGCCAGTGCTCCATAAAATTAATATAAAAATATTTAATATTAACATTCTGGAAAACAGATTGATCACTTGTTTTATGTCCATAGAAAGGAATCATAGCATTTAAGAGTTTATTATATATATATATATTAAACTCTTAACTTTTTAAAAAATATTAAAAATGAAAATGCACAATAATTAACATATTTCCTATATATATATATATATATATATATATATATATATATAAAAAGCAATTCACTCCAATCAAGGCAGGAGGGCCACTAGTACACAAGTGCTACAGAGGGTGTTACATAAGGAAAAAGGCTGGCTGGATATAGCAGTAGGTGGGTTATGTGCACACAATTGAGTGTAACAAACTCTACTGGAATTTGAACTTAGCTCTCCAATCTCTTGTTCTGAGATGCTACACATTACACCACCCACATGTCCATAAATAAAATAATTTTTTTTTTTTTTTTTTTTTTTTTTTTTTTTTTTTAAGAACACTTATTTTATTTTATATACGCCTTGTAGAAAATGCCATTTGTTGAATTTTTTGGATGATTCTTAATTTAATCTCCCACCCACCACTATTATTTTTAAAAAAATATATATTTATTGCATTGGTGACTATTGCAGTGTATCATTAATTCAGTACCAAAGATCCTAGAACATATGTGAATGAGAGGATTTATATGAATATGATAATGAGCATCATTTACCTGGTTTCTGAACTTGAGCAGAAAAAAATCAGTCTTCTTGAAATTCTTGGAGATTGTGGAACTTTCTTTCAAGAGTTTAAATGTACATCACTAACTTGCTATTCTATTTAAACAAAATAAGGCATTCACTGATGTCTGCAGCTACTAGAGGTGCCCACATAAAAAGTACCTTGCATTATAATCTGTCTTGTGTTAGGATATAGATAAATGCCCAGAAAATACTTCCCTGTTAAGTTTAAATGGTTGGAACATGTTCTTCTGTCCATAATTCCAACAAAATTCTCCCTATCATTATGATGGAGATAGATATAAATAAATAAGTAAAATTAGATGATAACATTGATATGATTCCCACTTGAATTGCACAAAACTTCATAGAGATTTTGAAAATGTATACATTCACCATTCTTCAACTCTAGAACTGTTTATACTGGAAATGTCTTTGTTGCCAGAGCTGTTTGTCATTCACAGGTCAGTCTCCATTGGTTGGAGCTGTGGAGTAAATCCCAACTGGAAATGATTTATCTTTGGTTACATAAGAATCTTCTTCTAATACTTTTGTGGCCACTTTGTCTTCCCTGTACACTTAGCACCTTGCCAACCAACATGATATTTTCCTGGCTTCACCGTCTCCACTCATACCAATAATTCTCACCTGAAGTGAACTTTTGTTTTTCTGACACTGATCCCTGACCACATTGCCTTTATGTTTTCGTTTAGTTCAGCACTTTCTCTGTAACCAGAGAGAAATCTACTCTTACCAGAAAGGCAGCAGATTGTTGTGTGTGAAGCTTGGGATATAGTGTGTGGGATGGGAGGTGGGGTTAACACGTTTGTGAAATGTCTCTTGTATTGCCTCTCTGGCAGGCCTTTGCCTGGAGGTGTTACTGCATTGGTTTTTGAAAAAGTGCATTAGGTTATTGGCCAATCTTTTCAGAGGAGGAAGAGGTTAGCTTTAAAAAGCACTTGTGTCATTTGGAGGGTGCTACTGCTTCTGGCTTGGTTTGTGGATGCTTTCGGAGAATGGTCAAAGTGGCTGAAAGACAAAATAGTGCTATTCTTTATTTATTCTTTTTTTTTTTTTTTTTTGTCATAGATATTGCTGAAAAGTTAATTTTATGTTCATTGTTTTCTTTTCTTTATATGGCATTATAATCCCTGTGAGTATGTATGTATGTGTGTACGAGTTATTTAAACAGTGTGACAAGGTAATAAATTGTGTAAAAGGCTATGTATAAAAAAAAAAAAAAAAAACTGTCCTGTGGATGACATTAGTGGTTAATACAAAGATACAATAAAAGATTGAATTTTACACACACACACAGTATTAACCCTGAATCCACATGCAATATCAAGTTGCTGTCTTCTATATGTAGGGATAAACAGAATATTTTATGTATGTCCATTTGATAAAAAAAAAAAAGTTAATCCTTGACAAGTTTGAGAGAAACACACACACACACACACACATATATATATATATATATATATATATATATATATATATATATATATATATATATGCAGCAAATTCTCTTTCAGGCATGTCTGGCTGAATAAGTTACAAATGTTGTCTGCTTATTTTGCTCATAATCCTTGCATATTCATGAATATTTTTCCATATATTACTATTAAATGTGACAAGAAATTCACTGTAACAGGGAGAATGACTTTTATTATTCAAGTACTTTCCATCTCTTTCTGACATCATCATCAGTAGTGCAATTGGTAAGGCAAATCTGTGTAATTATCCATTACTGAATTTTTCTTGTGTGTTTAAATGCTGTGGCTGACAGTGATGCTTTAGTGTTCATTAAAACATGAATAGTTATCCATTATGGAATTTTTTTTCATGTTTGAATGTTATGGTCAAGTGTGCATTAAAGTGTAAAAATATAATATACTTGCATGGCTTATGGCCATATAACATTGAAATACTGGTTCCTGTATGATCAGTGAAGTTAAGCAACATTAGGCCTGGTCAGTACCTAGTTATGTGCCCACTTGGAAATACCAGGTGCTGCAAGATTGTGTGAGTGATGTAATGAATAAGTGCTTGGAACTGGAAATCAGAGAGCTGAGTTCCAATTTCAGTTGGGTTTCTTATATTCACTTGTGTTTAACTACCCTTGGAAAAGATATGAATTCACCCCTTCTCCTCCTATCTATGGGTTGATTAGTAGGACTTATATTACTAAATCATTATTATTATCTCCCCCCACCTCCAAATTATTACATTCTGAAGAAAATATTTTCTGGCTTTTAAATAACCTGCAAAGGGTTGATAATCCATAGAAAATGAATCGATCATACACATACACACACACGGGAAAACTAGTGAAATAAAAAAACCCCCAAAAAACTGTAAATAAATGATATGTGATCATGGTTTTTGTCTTTGAATCCCCTTCCTCATCTTTATTCATCTATGCTCAAAGGAACAATTTCTTTAAAAATTTTTTAAAAAAGAAAAAAATGTCTAGTGTATCCACTAAACAAAAATACTTTCCTGTAAGGTTTTTGTGGCTGAATAGTCTAAAGTACACCTGGCTTGAAGTTGGATTTCCCAATAAAAGTGGGGAAGCAGGTTTGAACCTTGCCAGAAGGCATATTATCTTTTGACCAGGCTGATAGATGTTAATTACACTGTTTAAAAATGGATGTCTACTCTAACACATGTCAGCACTAAACATAATATTTATCATAAGTATGGGATACTACAAAAATTTTGTCTGGCCAAGAAATCCTTCAAAAACAGAAAAATATGTTTGTTCATTTGGTCACATTTTAGGAAGTGTGCCAGCTTTGTGAATTTTTCAGCACCCCTCCCCATATCTCCTTTCTCTTCTGATTGTTGTAGACTACATTCATTGGACAGTAGAGAGTTTATATTGCATTTTCTTTTGGTTTATATTTAATGTGCATTATTACATTTGGAGAGACAAATGTTTGTGCTTGCCCGTTAACTCTGACATTGAATTAGATTTTGCTGAAGCATGGCAAATAGCATTTTGCCCATCTTTTTCTACATATTCCCTTGACTCTTTGTGACTGGGGATTTTGCATCCTAGCAAAATCTCTGGTATAGAACAGCATCAAATGTTTGAAGATGTTCTAAGGATTCACAGCTTGGCAGCAATCCCACAGGAAGGCAAGTATTGGGCAGATAAAGTTGAAGTGTGATTTTTAGATTTACTTGATAAACACTTTGCTATCTTGACAAGAAGTGTTTCATTATGAACCATATCAATAATGAGTTAATTATGGTGCAAGAACTTGTTATCTTTGTGTTGGAAAACTAACTTCCTGAAAGGAAATTTGCTTATGTTGATTACTTGAGGTGACCACTGACTGGGTGATTAGATAGATAATTGTAATTTCCAGCAGCTTAATTAAAAGGTAAGGTGATTGGTGGTTTGTTTGGAGAAATCATCAGATATCCAGTCCTTAGTTTGGCAAATGAGTTCATTATTTGCTCATGTGTGATTCATTGGCTAGACAAGAGGGAATCTTGGCAGGTTATTTCTCTGGTTACAAACCTTGCTATTTAATAACATGAATACCCGTCTTGTGAACTGGTGGAAATTTTTTATTGCCTGATTGAGTACTGTACTTCATTTGTTTTGGAGGGCTTCTATATAGATTTTTACTTATGAATAGTTTAATCCCATCTTCATGATTTGACAAAAATATTGTTTTCATTCATTAACTGATCACTTGAAATCTTTGAGTTCAATATAAATTGAACATTCTGTGTCATAATATAGCTGGTCAATGTAGATGATTGCTGGGTGACCAACTCTTACTCCATGGCTAGGTGTCCAGAACAGTAGATCACACGAAAGTTCTTTTGCTCACCAGCAGTTTGTTCATGTAAAATTGTAGAAATATCAGGGATGGGTCCATAGAGCCGTGATTTAGTTGAATGTTGTACAGTGACAAGCAATATTGCCTTTTTTCTTTTTCTCCAAACTAGGATTTTTTACATTGTAATAAGACTCTTCTATTTGTGACATTGTCGTTCTACTGCACTTAAAATTGTAACTGAAAAGGCTTATGGCCACATCACATTGAAACCTCAGTTCTTATACATTCACCAAAGTTAAGCAATGTCAAGCTTAGCTTGGTCATTATCTAAATGTGTGACCACTTGAGAATACTGTGTGCTATAAGCTTGGATGTGTGGGTAATGTAATTGATAATGGCTTGAAATTTTTAATCAGAGAGCTGAGTTTCCATTGGGGTTGTTATATTCACTTACACACAAAGAATCTACCTCTTCTCTTGTCAGCTATGGGTTAATTAGTAAGACTTGTATCATTAAACGATTATCATCTGTAAAAAAAAAAAAAATTACAAAAAAAATACGATCTAAAAATATTTTCTGGCTTTAAATAACTGGCAAAGTGGCTGATAAGCCATAAAAAATGAATGAATCAATCAATCAGTCTAGTTGCCAATTTTGATAAAAATTGGCAATATTTCATCTAAGAAAAAGAAATAAAATACGGCAGATAACAGTTGTAGCAGTTTTTGTTATTTCGTTTTTTATCTCCATTTGGTGGTGTTTGAATTTTTTTTTTTTTTTTTTATAGAGATGTGAGCAATGTGTCTCTGGACCATGTATGGGTTCATTCTAAATCAAGATTACTCAAAAACATTTAACTTGCAAGAATTCAGATAATGATATGGGAATTATCAGATATTACAAGATTGGGAACAAAACCTGATCTTTGCTTTATGAACCTTCTTTCATTTCTTTTCCTGCTGTCGACATTTTGGAATAAAAATAAAAATTTTTGTAATTATGACGTCTCCTGAAATGTTTGAAATTACAACCTATGAAGATTCTGAAGTAGTACACTACATAATAATTCAAAAATTTTTATTTCAAATGTTTGCCATTTGACTCTACTCGAACATATTCTTTTACCTCTATTTTCCAAGGCACTGTCTGAAAATATTCATTAATTTATGCATACATGTACATTGGAATAAAGACAAAAGGAAAACTTATTAATCCAACATGCTTCATCTTCTGATGGATTTCATCAAGGCAAATGTAAGGATTTTATTTTGCAACAAAAGTAAAAATGTTAGTTTTTAAGAATTTTAAAATTTAAGAAATGATGATAAATACCCATCAGGTTAACTGAAAAATCTAAGTAAATTATGGAGGATGCTAATTGACATAATTTAATGTGTAATAAACAAAAGTGAGTAAATGATGTTGTATGATGTTAGTTTTGAAAAATTAACATTTTAATGTTTGTTTATAAATACTTGTTGTAAAATAAAATCCTTACATTTGCCTTGATAAAGCCCATCAGAGAATGAAACGTTGGCTAAGATCAGTTTTCATTTTGTCTTTATTCATATTGTCCTTTTACAGATATATTTTTAATTATATCTGAAATTTTATACACATACACACAACTTATTACTATAAACATTATTTTTTAGTGGGTACATGTGTTTGAGTTGCTATCGCTATTTTATAATTTTCTTAAACAGTAAAATTAATAACAACTGGCTTAGATCGTGAAGTCCAACTCAAGAAAAAAAGTTACTTCTCCACAGGAACCAAATCTGTATACCTTTTTCCTCCTATAGCTGTAGTATGTCATTATCAGTTTGACCACAGGCAACCATTTTGATAAGGTATGGAAATGAAGCTAGCATATATAGATTTGTGGAAGTCCCAACAAAAGTAAGAATACATGTTTTCCTCAAACATGTATTCTTACTGAAAATAATATTTATAGCAATAAGAAATAATATCAAATTAAAAAATCTATTTAAAAATATATTTATTTTCGTTGACAGTATTCCATATTTACTTAGAACTAAATTTTATACCGTACTTGCCTCAAGTTTTGGATTTTTTTTTTTTTTTTTACTTTTATAATTGAATAAGATATTTTCTCCTTTATGAAAATAGGAGGAAAACCTCCTAAATTATGGTTGCCCTTGGTCTTTGGCCTATTAAATCTGATCCTTTATACCATTTCATGAAAGGAAGTACTTAATTTAATTCTCAGTTCCTGACCTGAACTTTGTTCACCCCCATAACCCCATATTAATCTCTAAACTCATATATACTTAAGATATCAAGATGAGCTGTTTCATACTTTCTATTTTTAATATCCAGAAACTCTGAAGTGAGGGATGACCCCTAAATTTGAACACTTTTTTTATTTATTTTTTGCTGCCTGACACACTTATCAACTTCATGCAACTTCATCCTAACTGACAAGTCTTCAGATTTTCAAGTACTTCAATAATTTTAGCACAGACTATTATTATTATTATATTCTGTAAATTGAAGAATCATTATATTGGTACCAATAATAGTAATAGCAGTCATAGTCGTGAAAATAATAATTGAATATTGTTATGAGAGAAGAGTACAAATTAGAAATAATATAATAATAATAATAAGCTTCATTTGTGACTTGCTATGTACACGTTTAAAAAAAAAAAAAAATTAAAAAAAATGATCAAATGATGTGTAGGCATTCAAAACAACATTGGATCTTATGGCATGAGTTAGTGAGTGCCCCCGACCCACACTCTGTGTGTAAATTGAATTTGTTAAATGAAGCTTTTGTTTATGAAGTGATGGAACCAGGTGGACAAATTAATGTCTAAAAATAGTTGATTATGTCTAGAAACAATTTTTAATAGAGCCACTTGTAATTGACTTTTTGTGAGTCTTCTGGAAAATATCATAATTCCTATTCAATAATAATCATATTAACTTTATCTTTCTCCACATCATTGGCTGTAAGGCCATGCTCACTGAAACAGTCTTTTTTTTGTTCTTCCTGTACAACTAAGGCTGAAGTCATTTTTTAAAATGTTTGACTATAGTGTCATATTTTATTAAATAAAATAAAATTGGTATTAAACAACCAATGATGCTAAAAAAAATTTAAAGTTAAGTTTTAAGGATATTATCTTTTCTATTGTTTTGATTTACAGCAGGTTTTCTTTGTGTGAATAATTTTTTTTGATTCTTATATG